TCCATTTCATATGAGATTTATGAAACGAGTCTAAGAATGTTTCAATTTAGCGAACCTCTGGCGAGCTAAAATGAAAATTTCGTGACAGATTTATGCCATTTATTCGTGTTAAACGATATTTTTCATGCAAACTGGGAAATGTAAAAAAAGACGCCGTTTTGACTCCAATGCGGAAGTCTGTGAGGTCATGTACCTGTCCTAGGCGTGACAACACAATTGAAACAATTGAAACTTACAACCAATCACAGTGCTGATAGGTCATATTACTACACAAAAATATCACATGGGTTAATACGCAAAGAACCCATGACATGGGCATATTCCCTGGATAACACAGTACATTATGTAATATAACGCAATTGTCTATGTATTAGCTTCTATTCTTATATGTTTATTCCTTGTGGGAGCTTATAACAGCAACAATGAACCGATTGCAGATGCTTGATTGCCCATTTCGCCTTTCCTACGATGTCAATCCCATGCGGCACCTCTGGGATTATAGTTGGACAGAAGAGTGCGAAATCGACGTCAGCAGCCTCAAATGTTTGACTAGTTGAGGGTGGCCTTACAAGAACAAGGGCGGAGGATCCCGATGAGGTCTATGAACCGAGTCATCGCTTCCACGCCACGCCGTTGTCAGGGCTGTGGTCAATGCTAGTGGTTCATCTACGCGATATTGATTCTGTAAACTTGATTTTAATCGTGTAAATTTACAGCATTTACAATACATTCATGATATACTATCAGTGTAATTAAGTAACGTTTCTTTTGGGGCAGTGTAGTTTTCATTTTGGTTCGAGTAGTTCTAGGTCGCTTTACACATTTTGCTTAGTCGGGTACGGTATTTAGGTGCTAGATACGTACACGTCCAGGACTGGAAAATCATATATTATGAGTGAAATTTGGAATAACACATTTTCGTGTGGAAAAATGTCCATTAATGTTAATGGGAAATTGCATGTTTGATATATATATATATATTTTATTTAAAGTAGGAAACATTCCACCTTTCCTTAGTTAGCATTAGTATGGTAGTCTGATGGTATGCAATTTTATACCTAATCCCTCTTCCCTGGCTAGCTAGTTTGGAGTTTAAAAGAAGATGTATTGGCGAAAACGTCAGAAATCATCTTCACATGGTGAAATGCTCATAAATAGAGAGGCTCAAAGGTGTGGTAACAAAATTATGAATTTAATTATTTCGTTAACCTTGTGTCCTATATTATACAATTATGGACTTTTGTGTTGGTGAATATGATGTGATATGAACATGAAAGAGTGATATTGACTGAGGCGAAGCCGAGGTCAGTATCACTCTTTCAGGTTCATATCACATCATATTCACCAGCACAAAAATCCATAACTGTTTTATTATATGCTTCAACAATGAAATAAAATGAAACAAAATTAAAGGTTCTGATTTTTGTACGCGAGCCTCCGTGTAAAATTTAGCCAGGTTTGAATACAACAATTCATCATTGTAGCTTTCGAAGGCATCGTCTTTATCCTCGAATAGTTTTGGTAATTTTCTGATGTAACAGAGGAGAAACGTTCGCCAACAGCCATCTTCTAATGTCGTCTGACAGATCGCGTTCCGGTCTAACTGCGCATGCGCTACAACAGGTTCCGGGGTATTTCCATATATGCTATATTTAGAAAACGATATTCACCGGATAACCAGTCTACATGAGTTTTTGAGGACTAGTCACGTGTATAGGATCCGACCAATGTGATTGCGAGAAATGTTCATGCATATGATAATACCTATTATGAACGGGATAAAAAATGCAATGGTTTATATATGGATTGAATGGCGTTTTTTAAATTTTCATGCCGGTATGAATGCACATCGGTTACATCCATATTGTATGAAGCCCGCTATTTGATTTACGTTCATACCGGCATAAAAAACCCCATTTTTTGTTGTTTTTTTACATTTTTACTATAGAAGGATAGTTTCATCTTATTTATTTGTTCTTAAATTATAATTTATTTACTGCGTTTTGTAAATGCGTCGTCCTTTACACGACATTGGCGGAGCAGCCCTATTTAAATAAAATTGGCGTCAATAATTAACCGTAGTCATTTGAGCGTTTGACATATGGGCATTCTCCATGTAATCCGAAGCGATTGGGAGGAATCCGGAGCACCCAGAGAAAACACAGGTGGTCGGGCACGCGATTCCTTACATGTACCTTTTCACGTGCGATCGAGAAAACGAACTCCGCCCGTCTTAGCGTAATTCGATTTCGCTGTCCACTTGGCCACCCGACTGATGTCAATTCGTGATTTCAGTATTTAGCGTGCAACCCCCTACCCCCTCAAAATAATGCTTTTCCCAATGGAGGAAATACCAGTCACTCGTTCTGTATTGTATGCTGTTCATGTTCAAGGGTTTTCAGTTAACATTCAACATCAGCGTTAAAAGTAAAAGAAAACCGGGCGCTACCAATCATCAGCAAATCTTGTATCCGTATTAAATTACAAAATGTTTTTTTGTTCATATAAAATATTCTTATTAAAAACTCCTGTTTTATTGGTATGGACAAAATTACATAATGATTAATCAGATTGACTCCCACAATAATCTGTTAGGTGAAGGACGTTGGTTCATATTCTTCCCTTTGCTGTGACCTATGGTAATCTTGCCCCAAAAGTCACTTCAAACTCTTCTCGAAACTTCAGCTAAATGTATATATTTTCACATAAACATATTCCAACACTTAAAATGTGGTCTTTAGTGTTAACGAATAGATACGCACAGTACATTAACAGTGTATCACGTTTACGAATCTGAATTATAATTCGAGTGTCGGTGGAGTTAGATTGTCATAGTGGGGCAGAGATGGGTAAGTTACTGCAAACGTAAACCTACAGAGATGTATGATAGATTATATAATGAAAATCTCATTTTTTTTTTCATTTCTTCGTTTTAAAATGTGTGTATGGGAATGGGGGGGGGGGGAGGGTATAGTCTAAGAGAAGATTATCATAGGACAAGCTTTACGCTCTGACAAGATTAGACTAACCTTCAGTTTATGTGATTATTTTCTGGACTTAAGCAAGTCTCATAATGTAGAATTGCAAAGGTGATATATTGACAGGAAAACATGGGGTGGGAATGTTCCAGTCTACACTAATATTGACTCAAGGCGTCATTAAGATGTTCCTGAATATATATTTCATTTATGTAGTAATAAATATAAGAACATTAAGAATACAACAGTCAAAACATATACAAACTAGAAATTTGTTTTTTTGAATAAAAACATGTCTCCCCTTATTAGCCAAGGGCCATATATATGTATATAGTGGGGCAAGATACCTAATCTCAGTGCACTGCACACCTTCTGTGGGTGATGCAGGTTTGTCTCAGGTTTATTCAAGATATCTTTAACGGTTGAGAAGGTATGCCGTGGACAAACTTTGATATAAAAAAATGGCCATAATTCTATATATAGTGTGGCACAAGACCTGATTTTAGTGCGAGAGATGACGCCTTCCGAAGATACATAAATATGGTAAGTTTGGTCAACGTAAGTGAAATAGATTGGAACTTATGCTCCGGACAATTTTTGATATTAAAAATAAACAAAGGCGATAACTCTGTATATAGTTGGGGACGAGACCTAATTCCAGTGCACTGCACCCCTTCTGTTGGTGATGCAGGTTTATCTTACGTTTGATCAATATACCTTTCACGGTTTAGGAGGAATGCCGTGAACAAACTTCGATATAAAAAATAAACAAAAGCCATATATAGTTGGGAATGATACCTAATTCCAATGCACTGCACACCTTCTGTGGGTGATGCAGGTATACTCCAAGTTTGATCAAGATATCTTTAACGGTTTAAAATGTACGGGCCAGACAAGAAATTCTGAAAATGTTGCACTTTTCACCCCGAGGAAAAAATACCTAAAGAAAACGTCGCAGAATGCATATACAAAATTGGATGCAAAACTGCGACGCATCGTATATTGGAGAGACTGGAAGGCGTTTTGGGGTCCGCCTTGGTGAACACCGGAAAGATACAGAAACCCAAGAAGGTAGCCAATTCACCAGATCAGAAAGGAAGCAGTCGGAGTCCCAGATGCATCAACCGGCAATCACAGACCATGCCACACAGAAAAAGCATGTGATTGACTGGAATAACTCAAAAGTTTTAGACAGAGAGAGCAATCTGTTCAAGGGGCATATAAAGGAAGCCATCTGGATACGCCGCAGTGCGCCAGTTCTAAATCGAGACGAGGGCTCAAAGACTCTTGCACATCTATGACCAAGTATTAAACAAAGCGTAGCTGAATCGAGTCATTTCGGTACAGATATAACTATTGTACATACGCTTACAGCATAGCCGAAATCGACATAGATTTGGTGGACAGTTCGTACATATTTTGCACCTTTGTGTGCATACGCTTCACTGGTCATTTGTCTGATGAAGGTGACAGTGTACATATCGTACTAGTCATCGAAACGCCACATAGAAAATTGTATTGGTTTTGTAAAAAAGAACTTTTCATAATGTTGCACTTGTTTGACCTTTGAACTTGAGGTGAAGGGCACAGTGACCTAATCCAGTGCACAGCGCACCTCCTGTGGGTGATGCAGGCGTACCTTAAATTTCCTCAAGATATCTTTAACGGTTTGAAATGTATGGCCCGGACAAGTTGCAATTAAAAGAAGTAAAAGAAGAACCAGAAGAAGAACCAGTTCTAATACAATATGTCTCCCTTCATTCGAAGGGGAGGCATAATAACAACACTGCGTCAGTTCGGTGATCCGGGTGCGGTTTGGGAGCGGTCCGTGTAGACTAAAGACGATCGCAGCGCCGCTTGTCGTCATAGTGAGAAAACCTCTCGTGTTTTATATACTGGCTTGCCAGTTTACGAGTTAGCTATTTCTGAATAAAAAGTAAGTTTCGAATTTCTGTTTTACTAAAATGACGAAAACATCAAATCAACCGATATAATTTATTGATTATTGATAGCATGAAATGAACAAACAATATATCTATAAAAGCATGGAAAAACTACACTTATCAACAAAGGAAATAATAAAAATATACATAGAATATTATCCCAAACCAGCAGTAACTAACTATATTATAAATAATTATGGCGGTGATCCTCTTCCATAGATTACAATAGTGTTTTACATACATGGCGACCAAATATACCTATACCACTGATAGAAGAATTATGGAATATAAACAATAGAGAGTTCATTAAACCAAAAACACATTATCTAGATAAACAAGATTTCTGTCCATGTTTCTTGTCTTGACTCATACTAACATACTTATCCCACCTTCACGTAGGTAGGATATGCGAGCCCACACAAATCCAGGGGTTAAGCTCACTTACACTCTGTGCACCCCTGGTATATGTCATAGCACAATTGAAAGCTCAGTGTGCACCATCTTGTGAATGAGACAAGAAGTCTAGTTTTATCCTTTGATGAACATCAAAAGAATCTCGCGGTCGCATAACGTTTTAATGTACTGTCTTTGAAGTCGGGCGTCACTCCTCTTTTATCTCCAAAGGACAGGTATCAGCCTATCAGTTGTTCAGTGTTTTACATGAGATCAATAATATAGCTATATTCGTGTCTTAAAAGTTGCTATGACATATTCCAGGGGTGCAGAAAGGGAAGGTAAGCATAACCCCTGGAGTATCGAGGATGGTATGTAAGAAATGCGTGCTACATATAAATATATGTTGATGCGTCTAACTGACAATAACAACAAGTTATTTGATAAGCTTGAAATGAATACTGAACCAATGGTATGATGTATTTTTTTTTTTACATTTTCAAACAAATTTCTTTAGTGTATGTGTACATTTTCTAGGAGTTTTGCTTTGTGTTGCACACATACTGTCGACGTCGTGTATTTCTAATTCCCGAGTAAGAGGTTGCAGAAAAGGACAGCCTATTATTATGTAGGTTTCGGGGATATGGAAAGTCTACCACTGGGTGCAGAATTCGAGGTCGCAGCAAAACATCAGTTGAGACTCAAAATCTACACCTCTCGGCATACTTTCTTCCCCTATATCACTTGTTAATTTAGGTACTCTGAAATATAATTATACTTGGCATATACAGTATTTTTCTACACATTTTACGATTCACTTTTCCTGTTTTATCACGGGGATAACTATTTTGGGGTTAGTGTCAATTTGTTAGCGAACATTACCTAATTCAGAAGAAAACAAGTGACTTACATTATAAATAGATATATTGACGTATAGTGCATATGTTAATCATTTATGATATGTAACGTCCCCTTTCTTTATGACAACCTCTGTTACTATAATATACGGTTCGTGATCAGAGTGAGCGTACGCATATGCCCGAACTCTGTCAAAGAATTGGTCAAGGATGTTCTGTTTATCTTCCTCAGTTCGGGAAGAGGACAATCCTCCCAGTATCACGTGGTGCATCCATGAACTAACCGAGTCAACTATTCCGCGGGAATATTCTCGTTTTTCCGTCTCGTCTGTAATGTAGCAAAAATATATAACATAACCTGTACATATTTTGTTTATCTTATTGTTTCATAGTTATGTTTGTTAATCGACAGTAACGCCCTCTTAAGAACTCTATGATAAATTACCTGGATAGATTCTCCATGGTGACCAATAATTAGCTAGGGATTTCTACCGGAGACCGGAATCAATTTACGCAGAACATTATCGACAGATTTGCGTTTTATTTATTCACTTTATCACGGTTTCACTTCCGGTTCTTTTGTTGTGTTTACGATTTTTGTAACTCGGTTATGATTTCATCCCATTTCCTTTTTGATATTCAAAGCATCGAACTATTCTACTTACAGTTATTTAATGCACCAAACATGTTTCACCTTTATCAACTATATCAAACGTCGGATGATGCAGAAAATGTTTCATGGTCTTCAACGAAACCAACTCCAGTCCGAGTGATTCTACTTCTGGTAGTGCACTAGTGAAAGGTTCTTTTAGATCAGATGCCTTTCTCAGATAGTGACCATTGAAGTTGATTGCAAGATATTCCTCCTGTCAATATAAATTATGAGTTATATTATTGTACAATAGATGATACAAATTTAGTGTATTACATTAGACTGAGAAAAAGTATTTGGTCACCTGCTCGACCACGTGGGTTTTCTCCGGTTACTCCGGTTTCCTCCTAAATTTCAGACCACGTGCGCTAACATCCAGGCCAACAAGAGTGATTAATATAAGCTGAAATAACTTGTTTCATACTTGATGTAAAATAAGGAAAGGCTGTATTATATCACATTAAGGTGAGATTGAACCAAACTCTCTTTCACCTCCAACACGTAGGTAAAAAAATCTTGGATGAATAAGTAGTGAATGTTACATTACACCTACCTTTTTTGATCGAACTCGTATATTGGGTCCAACAAAATCATGAACAAATTTCTTAAATATACGTTTCTCTTAATTATATAGAGCTATTTTATAAGTTATTAGAAAACAACAATTCAAAACAATATATGTGAAATGGGATAATAACTTCATATTTCATCCCCTTAACCTCGAATCAGCTCCTAGTCCATTTACTTGTACGCAACACATTCAGAATAAAATACGTTGACAACAAATACGAAATCATTCACACATTCGAGCTAGGGTAATGCTTTGATTTGAGGTGAAATAATTTGCACGGCCCTAGTAAAATTAGCCTGATATGATTTCAGAGTAGGTTTGCAGTTGGTCAGTTTTTATGCAAAGAACAAATCATATATCTAACCGTGATTCTTCTACCCTGTCATAAAACCAGTAGATAAACAATGTATATCGAGAGCATTAACCATGAGTTTGAAGATAAAATAGTTAACGCATACCTGTGTTATCACGCCTTCTCTTGCCATATCAGTCACAAAACTACCAAGATGATGCATTCCCTTGTCTAACTGTGAAATAACATTATTGTCTTCATCCGACGTTACGTTGATTGTGATGAAAACACCTCCTGAAATACAAACCTGTTGTTAATTTGATAACGATATTTAATGCATTGAATGGCTTTTAGATAAAATATATGAAAGTTATTTTCATAGAAGATTAAAATGAATATCTGCTCTCGTGTAGTAGAAGTTGTTGATTACACGTTAGAATCCAAAATATTGACATGGATTACCAAGTGTTATTATACTTACTGGAATGCAAGTCCGCAGTATAATCTTGATCTGATTTACCGTGATACCAGGAGGTGGCTTAACAATTTGAGGTTTTTAAAGTAAAACCAATTTTCATGATGTAATACTTACCATAACTTTAGTACGCATATACAATACCTACACCCATCTTTGTAGCCCACAAACAAAAGATTCAAATATCCCTACCTCCCTACCGTGACGTAACCCATATCTCGACGACAGAGCCACGGAGTGATCTCCTTTCCTCAAACCCCTTTTATGGAGCCTAAAGGCAGCCGGGATGAGGAGGCAAGGGGAGGAATACAGGGTGGGACTCCATAAAGTGATGGTAAGTATTACATCATGAACATTGGTTTTACTTCAAAAACCTCAATTTCATTTCAGTAATAATTACCATAACTTTAGTATGCGAATTCGTCTTACCGTAGTGGAGGCTTCGAATCCAGGCAGACCAGGCTGACGGAACAAACTCGAGACATGCTCAAGGTAGGGAAAAGGTTCAAGGAACCCCCCTAATAAAGCCCCGAAAGTAATTAAAAAATGGAAAACCTCCCCGTGAAACGAGCAGGTGTACCACCGTGGTGCCTGATAGCATACTATTTAAAATCACTGAATTACTGTGGAGGAACAGACACAGACTGCAACCACCACAGGTCCAAGGAAATACAATCCATCAGAATGAGAAGCCAAGGACCGGAGATAAAAATCCTTGAAGGTAGTCTGTCCGCGCTAGAAAGCCGCGGACATGACCTCCTGAAAGGGGGACCCATTGAGGAGGGCCCATGACGCAGCAAGGGCCCTGATCTCATAAGATCTCACCTTATATACAACACCCGAACCTGATCATCCGAGAGGTCGTAACCGTACTTGATGACCTGACAGATCCATCTAGACACTGACTGAGAGGAGATATCCTGCTGACCCTGCTTAATGGGCAAAAACAGACTAGATCGAGGACCCTGCCCCCCTGGTTTTATCGAGGTAAAACCTAAGTGCCCGACAGGGACAGAGAACCCTATCCCGTTCCTCAGACCCAACGAATGCAGTCAAAGACGGAATCTTAATCGGATTGGGCGAGAAGCCAGGAACCTGATTCTTGGCCATAATTCCTGGACCACCGGGGCAAGAGGGGTGAGAGAAAAAGACATGAATCTCACTCCTACTTCGACCTGAGGCCAGGGCAATAAGGAATACCACCTTGTAGGTAACAAACTTCAAGGAGGAAGACGCTAAAGGCTCATAAGGTGCCCGCATCAGCGATTCGAGCACCAGTGGCAAATTCCACTGCGGAGCCAACTGCCGGACCCTAGGCCTGTCCAACCCAAACCCCCTAATCAAGGCAGAAAGAGAGGAGGACGAGCCTACCTCCGGCCTACCATGAATATAGAGAACACTAGCAATGGTCGTGCAATAACCAGCGATAGTGCCAGGGGCAAGATTGCGGTCCCTAAACAGCCAAAGAAGGAAGCCCGCAATCACCTGGACAGTAGCCGTGATCGGATCATCCTTCCTGCCGACACACCAATCACAGTAAATCTTCCATCATGACTGGAAGACGGCAGATGAGGAAGACCTAATTGATCAAGCGATGCGATCTGACACGTCCCTAGAAAAGCCTGCTTGAGCGAGGCCTCCTGAGATAGCTTCCACGCGTGAAGGTGGAGGATCTCCGGACGAGAGTGCATCGTCCTGGACCGAGGTTGGCGAAGGAGGTTCGCTCTGAGAGGAAGAACCAGGGGTCGAGATAATCTCACAACCCTGTCATGGATGCATCCGTGTACAGGGTCATAGTGGGAACCGGCTTGGACAAAGGAACCCCTCGGAGAACATTGTCCTGATGATTCCACCAGCGTGCGTACTCCTTGACCGACTGGTTCAGAGGAAGCCAGGCTTCCCATTCCCTTGAAGAAGGGACCCAGTTGGCAAGGAGAAACTTCTGGAGAGGCCTGATGTGAAGTCGCCCTAAGGGGACCACATCGGCCAGGGCGTTGAGATATCCCAGAAAACTGAGAAACCAACATACCTGGACTTGAGACATCCCGACATAGGAACCTCCTCGACCGCGCCCTTTGTAAGCATGGTCCTTACTTCCTCCTGGATGGCCAGAGCCTTTTCCGGATCCCCCCGTGGAGGTAAAAAGATTGGCTCTGACGCTAAGGGCGGATCCCGTACTAGCAGAATGTCCAACCCCTCCTTAATCACAGACAAGGCACATGTGTCTTCCGTAATTTCCTTCCACTCTGGAAGTAACTTCCAAACTTCCAAACTCGTCATCTGACACAACCAAGGAGGGAAGAAGAGAGTCAGGAACCCCTCTTCTTACCTCCAGGAGGGTTCTTACCCTTCTTACCCTTCCATTTGTTGCCCTTGAAGGGCGAAGACTGCGAAGCCGAAGGTTTAGCCTTCTTCTTAAGAGGCGCTATACCCTAAGCCAGGGAAAAACGGAGGCCGGAAACCGGCCCCCTGTCCAGCAAACCCAACGCCTGGGGGGAAACCCCCCAGGAAGAATGAAACTCAGGACCGGACCTAATAGGACCGGGTCCGGGTAACTGACCGGGAGGGTAAGCCTGACCAGCATTGGTGCCGGGATTAGTGAGCTGCACGTCACTAATCCCGGTAGACACAGCAAATCCCGAAAGAAAGTCTGTAGTCACACCAGGACCTGAACCCTAAAGAACCGGCCCGGCACCAAGACTGTCCCCAACGACAGCACCACCTGGAATGCCGGGATCACTGAGAGAGACAGTGACCGGCGGCCTGTAGTCCCTACCCGAAGGCAAGCGCGAAAGCTTACGGGCGTTCCCGGCCAATACGACCCTGGGCTGTTACAAGCAAGGGTGGGGCTGCCCCTCCCCTACTCCTGGGAGTTCCCTGACAGGAAGGGCCACCCCCTGCTCACGAGAGAGACTCGCCGAAGCGAGACCCCCGAGACAGGAACAGAGACAGTACCACCAGACCCCAGAGAGCTGGTGGCACGACCCCTCCCTCTCTGCTTCCCTCACTTACCGGAAGAAACAGACGAATCTCTCTTACAGTAAGTTGAGGGTAGCTTTGGAACAATGAAGTCCTTGTCCTGAGATTTAGTCTGTGAACAAAGTTCACAAGGCGAAATCTCACTGCAAGGACGACACCTGGGACAAGCATCATGAGGGTCCCGTTCCACAAAGAAATGGGAACACCCATGAGCTCTACCTCGTCGCTGTCCCGACCGAGACATACCCTCCAAAGCGAAAGTAACCAAAAAATTTACAAGCAGATAAACAAGGGAAGACATAATAAAATACGATAGTAAAAAGTACGCAACGTAGAAAGAATTTCACCCGATATATAAATCAGAAAACGGTTAAATTAAATAACGTTCGCCGAAACAAACAACCGTCACTGAAATAAACAGAGGTCGAAAATTAAACCACAATAATGGCGGACCGCGTGGCACACCACCGGCACACGTGGAGTAAAATAACCGGCCGTAAAAGGCACAAAAATAATGTTCAACAATAATTTATTGTATTAACAAGGGCAGATGGGTATAAGGCACTCAAACTGCGCAATAAATTGAGTTGACACTCGAACCAAACCGACACGGTAGGGAGGTAGGGATATTTGAATATTTTGTTTGTGGGCTACAAAGATGGGTGTAGGTATTGTATATGCATACTTAAGTTATGGTAATTATTACTGAAATGAAATGTGATTATGCAACGTCTTCATATGCAAGGGTAAAGCTCGTAATATCACATATATATTTTGCAACAGTGGTTATTCTCATTACAGAATCAAAACTCAACTACGCTCATTAAGCATCAAATCTTGCAAATCTTCGGTCTCTGAGTAATGGTTCAATGAAAGTTTAAAAGTGATCGCCGGTATTCGTTTGAAATGATTTGTTGCCTCCATCATTAAATTGTTAAATAAGTGCGAAGAAGGTGATGTTGGATTCTTGTTGTTCATCCTATTGCGCTATCGTACCTTTAAAACAATTAAACTTCTATTATGTATTGTTTTTCTAGTTCTTTTATGGTTGTCATAATATCACTTTGTAAATTCAACTTAGAACTACAGTATAATATCAACACTTAAATCGAAAAACAAGTATAGTACCAGGTTTAAGTTCCCGTCCTCTTGAAATAATAAAATCCCTCCAATCAGCTCTGGCTTGTTCTTTCATTAAACGTTGTTCGTTGTCATCTGCTTCACCCATGAACACACCGTGTTTGATTTGGCACACACTGAAACAAAAATCATTTATACATTTATATTTTTTAGTTTCCGTATATTGAAATTCTTCAAAATATTATGCATGGTTAAGGCCTTTTTTGGCAACAAATTTAATCAAAATTCACAACGTTTCTTTGATTAAATAGCATTGTTATCTTAAATGTGATAGCTCTATTTTTCTCAATCTCTGTTCCCATGTATGGCAGAATAGATATTTCACATGTTGCTATAAAAAATGTTTTAACAATCTTTCATTGTTCTTGCTTTCTCAGTCTACAGCTTAAACTGTACCGATGAATATATTCGTCTGAGGTTTCAATCACGTTCAAGTCTCGTTTTGATCTCATGTAAGTATTTTTTTTTATAATATTTAACAACTTATGATCAATTTTAATAGCAAACATGCAAGCTTGACCTTTTTGTCATTAGATTGATCACTTAGATCAACATTGTGTCGCCAATTTTAATTGTAGAAAGTTCATGTTAGCTTTACAATTATATAATGTTCAATATGATGATAATAATATGCAACAATCTGGAAAAAAATAACAGTTTTGGGTATTTTTCACATATATAGTGTAACTGAAGCACTCTTGATTTAAACCCGAAATGGTGAGCAATAACACAAATAATAACGGGACAAAAAGGAAGTACAAGGACCTCCCATTTGTATGGCTGTTTTAGAAAGAGAATCTATATTTGTTTGATCCGTTAAATATTTAAAATGGTCAAAACCGAAACATTCACCTCAAATCACATGCAAATTAAATTGATATCTTTGACCCATCTGCAATACATATATATTTTATACTATAGGTTTCATAGGTAATAACGACTGTGTGATCCAATATTGGCACTGGATCCGAACAAACAAGTGATAGTTGGATACGTATAACTTAAATAGATATATGGGCAAAGAAGTAATAACCACAGTGCAGAGAAAGACATTTGTCAAATTTTCAGGGCGATCTGCCCCTTTATCAAGCAGTCACCATTAAACAATAATACAATACAAAATACATGAAAAGAAGTTACTTATATAAAATATGTTTTTGTAATTGCATATACTCTCGGTTAGATTGAAACCGAAAGCTTATTATAGTAAATAATTCATATTGAATACGTAAAATCAAGTGGATTTAAACTAGAATCTGATCGAATGTTATGATTTTTCCACAACTTTTATGTTGTGATATGTACATTTTCATGTCCCTGTCTTGATAAATGGCATGGTGTGGTTTCGTTAAGTATTGTTTAACGTCCTTTCAACAGCTATGGTAATTTAGGACGGTCTCCCCTGTGTGCAAGATGCGTGCGTGTAGTGCATGCGTGCGTGTTTTTGGAGGCTGCGATATGTTCGTGTTTGTCTACTTGTGATAGCGCGGAACTGATGCCGACTTTATAGTGCTACCTCATTGAAACATACTGACGAAGACACACAGCAGGACACCTGCGGTCACATTATACTGACAACGGGCGAAACTGTCGTCTTGTCCCACTCCTAAACTGCTGAGCGTTAAGCAGGAGTAGAAACTACTATTTTTACAGAAGCCGGTATGTTTCGGCCAGGGGACAGAACCCAAAGCCTTCCTCACAGGGGCGACCGCTCAACTAAAGGCAAAAAGTGAGGCATTGTCAAGGGATACATTAGGAAGAAGTCAGTTGTTTAAAAAAAGGGAAAAGATAATAACCTAAACTAAGTCGCCTCTTACGATCATGCAATGGGGGCAGCAGTCGTGCTGTTATCACCTTACTATGTCTGACATACGAACTCTGATTTTTTTTACCTCTAGTCTGAAGAGTTACATAAGGGGACATCATCATGATAATATGTTAGTAAGGTTACACAATTCTATCATTACAGCAGGTACAATTAGTACGCCCTACCTGCAGGGACTGATAAAGGGGCAGATCACCCTGAAAAATTGACAATTTTCGTTGTCTGCACTGTCGTTATTTCTTCTTTGCCCATATATTTTATTCTATATATATATGTATATCTGGAATTTGTTTTACCATTATAAGTATTATTTCATTAGTTTATTTCATAGCTAAAATAATACGTCACATAATATGTAAATTGATACTTACATTTTTGACAAGTAATGTGCAGCTATAGCAGATATCGACAGATCTATCGAGTTCTCAGGGAGACACTGTTCATACATATTTCTAGGCACAAGTACTCGATAAACGTTACCCGAAGTCCTAGGTCCAGAGTCATTTGCATCCCCTTAATAACACAGAAATAGCATAAACTTAAAAGTAAAATATTGTCAAAACAAACATATAGATGTAACACATCTAAAACTTTTTTAAACTCTGGCATTTGCAGTTTTTTGGCTTGCACATGAAAAATGCCAAAATCGGTATTCTTCGAAAATATTTATATACAAGATACATCCAATTTTTTGAGCAATGCTTCTCACATTAAACATACTGAAATACAATTCATTGTTTATCCCGGGTTATTACCGTGTTATATTCATCTAAAAAAAATAAAAATATGATGCAATCAAAGTTACAAAGGATATTTAGTTGGGGTTAAAATAGCGATATGAAGAGATAATAATAAGAATTAAAGCATAGAAATAAGTTCTTTATGTCAATAAATGATATTTTCAACGTTTACAACCTTCGATAACTTTGCTTAGAAGATTGAAGTCGTTCATCGGTTGATCGTTGTAGTACACAACAATGGGTTGACTCTTCCCCAGATCTGTTTGTATTACATCTGTAAGAAAACTACATGTATTTGTATAGAGGTCTTTTTATCTCCGCAGATTTTACTCGAGAAGAAATTCAGTTATTATTCTGTTTAATTAAAACTAGTTGTGTTGTACGAGGTATATTACAACACCAATGTATGCATATTCAGGAACATACTAGATACTGTACATATGTTTATCAAGTTTAGTCATTATAATAAAAACAAGCATAACAAAAACGTCCTGATTATGCAACACCGTCAAACTTTGAGACTGATTTCGTTTGTCGGTAGGTTGATATGTAAGTACACTACGATGAGCTAATCATTCACCAGGATTTAGTTTTCTCTGTTGATCATAAGGTCTTATTATTATACAAACCGATCATTTCATTGATAAGTGGAAGTGAAGCTCGTCCATCCGCTGTTCCAAAATCTGCTATTTGCACCGGTTGCTCTGCCTGGTATACTGACTTGGAATTCAGTTGTCCTCCTATATATATATATATATATATATATATGTCATACTGTTATCTAGTCATTCAGAAAAGCATTGTTTCTCGCACATCTTTTCTTCATCAAATTCGACATATTATGATATTCAGCTACTCGCTCGCATATTCCGTCTTTGCGTATTGCAGAGTTATCTTCTCTTGAGAACAGGTATTGATTGTTACGTCATTGGTTTGTGTGAGAAAATTACGTCGTTTTCTCAAAAATTGATGACGTTATTCTCACAAACAAATGACATAACAATCAATACCTGCTCTCAAGAGAAGATAACTCTGCGGACAGACAGACAGACAGACAGACAAAGCGGGAAAGCGGGGGATAACTATTGTACATCCGCTTACAACGTAGCCGAATCGACATCGATTTTGTGGACAACTCGTACACATTTTAACCTTCGTGTGCATACTCTGCAATGGTCCTTTGTCTGATAAAGGTGACAGTGTACATAATTTATCGTACCAGTCACCAAAAACGTCACATATGAAATCTTTTTGGTTGTGTAAAAATATTTTTTCATAAAGCTTTAAGATATATTTCTGTTTTTCATTGGAGCAAAAGAATATGAAGACACCTCTTACAACATGTGTAAGTGTAACATAATCACTTCATTGAAATACCTGCAATTTCTGCTAATAATCACACAATATACTACTGGTATGATATATACTATATAATATTATACAATCATGAGCCTATGTGCTGGTGATTATGATGTGATATGAACCTGAAAAGTGATACTGACCGAGGAGTAGCCTTGTTTTTATATGCCTCAGCAATAAGATTTTGTATAGTTAACATTTACTTGAACGAGCTTCCATGTAAAATTTAGAGAGGGTTGAATCAAACAGTACGGTTTTCGGAGACATCGTTAAGATTATTTTCCTTAAGATTAGCACGGAGGATATGCACTGCGTGTTCGGTGTCCTTTTTGTTTTACCAGCATCTTTATCTCCGAGTAGTTTGGACATTTTCAAATGTAACGGAGGCGAAGAGTTCGCCATCCGCCATCTTCTGTTTTCGTCTGACATATCGCGTTCTTGTCTAACTGTGAATGTGCTACGACAAGTTCCGGGGAATTTCCATATAGACTATATTTAGAAATTGATATTCACCGGATAACCAGTCTACATGAGCATTTGAGGACTGGTCACGTGTATAGGTTCCGGCCAATGTGATTGCGAGAAATTTTCAAGCATATATAATAAACGCTGATTTATACATTCGGTACCGCTCATAATACATACAGTTAACATAATTACATTTTTTTTAATCAACCACATTCTTAGTTTAACAGTAGTATCTCTATCTCGAAAATATTATTTTAAATGTTAGTTTATTAATTTATACAACATATTAATTTAGACACAACTGTTACATAAAGGGGAATTTCTTTAACATATTTACGCTTTTACAATGACATTCAACAATGCGCCCATTTAGAACCTAGAACATTTTGCTTTTGAACCACCCAAGGATGCCCTTTTAATCGAAGATAAATATGTGAAAAAAAATCTTTTGTTGTAGTAATAACCAAAAATCACTTTTTTGCAGCCCCTCACTCAATAAAAGTTGTTCTTGTTATTGTCTTTTTAAATGTAGTTATTTGATCTTACTAAGACATTCCAAAACAGTCTTCCGACAAAGATTGACAGCATGACCGTGAACACAATACATATCGTCAGCAATTCCGTTCAGTTGGTCCTTGATCTTCATCGTTGGGTAATATCTGGAAACAAAAGATATAAGAACAATTAAAGCTGCACTAAGACACAGATAGACGTCGATAACAACTTTAACATGGAAAAAAACCCATCAAAGCTGTTATAACCAAACAGCATTTATAAATCGTTATCAGTAGAATGAGGATATCGGTAAAGCAAAAACACTTGATTTTGCATTGTCACAATAGCAAAAAATATTTCAAACAAAATGAGATCCCTGACAAAGGCCACATTGTGCCTGAAATCCTACAAATACAAAGTAGAAAGGAAATCTATTTCTTTGATTTCGGAATAGGAAGAAAATAGAACATGTTTTATGTGATCCGATAAGTTATCATCAGTTATGAACAAAATTCAATTAATAGAGTGGCAGAGTTTATAAGCCGTATTTTGTCATAATTTCTGTTTATTTTGGAACACCTCGCAAAGAGTTACGAGTGCTTGTAGCTTCTAGTAACGAACACACCGACGTCATAACCTGTAACTGGACACATGTGTATACCTAAACATAACAGATTCAGCAGCAACTAAGCTGATATCACACTCAGGTATCCACAACTACAATATCTGCAGAAAAATATTTTAGAAAAATGTCCCTTGTCATTTTCCCTCGGTGTAGCTGTATATTTTTGCGGCTGATATAGGCCAGTTCGATCTGTACCGTATTGTATGTCATCTATTAGACCACTGAACTGCAAAATTACATTCAGTCTTAAAATGTCATACTACGTACACATATAGATGGAGGTAAGGTGATTTCCTTTGTTTTATCGCATGGAGTAAAGAACAAACGAAACCATGATGTACGCCCGGTTGCAATAAAAGAGTTTCTTTTAATACACCAGAGATCTTCGCTTCTGAACAATGCTACATAAAAGAAGACCGCAGAGGTCGACTGGTGAGTGATAAATCTATCGACCTCATTTTATCATATTACTTTATAAACAGTTGTTTTTTTAATACCGTAATTGCAAATAGAAATACGACCGAGGTCACGTGTAGATAATATGCACCGCTGATTAGTTTTTAGACTAGAACATTAAAACAAGAGGTCCATTGGACCTGTATCGCTCATCATTACAACTGAATGCATAGGTACATCTTTAAATGAAATTTCCTCAAAATCAGACAAGATCTATGTTCTAACCCAACTGGGACAATAATATATGACTTTCAACTTATCAGGGGCCTCCATTGAGTTGTCATGTTAACAGATTTTGAAATAAGTAATATGTCATAGTACAGGGTGTAATTAACCAATACTTTAATTTTCATTCAACTAAAAGCTTTTATAAACCTCAATATTTTTTTTAACAAGTTATGAAAACTACACCATAGAATATGATAATCTAGCTATACCATTTCTTAGGACCGCAGGGGTCAAATCAATCTCATTCAATTAAGAAATATTTGGTCTTCCTAAATAATGTTTTTGACCAAATTTTGTACAATCCACTCAGGCAATCAGGGGGTATTAGCGTCTTAAAGCAAAATATTAGATATTTTTTTCTGTTTTGGGCCCGGTCTCCCATGTGTCGAACCAGTCTCATTTATTTAGGAAATGATTGCCCTCCCCCAATGAAGTTTCAGAGGAAACTTGGTTGAAATCTTCTCTGGCGTTAAGCGTTGGGCGTTTTAAAGCAAATTTAGTTAAGTTCCCCTTCAGGGCCCCGCCCACTGGCCTCTGGTGTCGAACCAACCTCGTTTTTTTAAGAAATGATAACCCTTCTCGACTGATGCTTCAGACTTAATTTGGTTGAACCTCTCTCTGGCGTTAAGCAGGAGATGCATTTTAAAGCAAACTTAGCCATGTTCTTCAGGGGTCGAACCAGCCTCCCCTGTTTAAGAAATGATTGCCCTCCCCTAGTGATGCTTCAGACTAATTTTCGTTGAAATCATCATTGGCGTTAAGTAGGAGATGCGTTTTGAAGCAAATCTAGCTAAGTTCCCCTTCAGGGCCCCAGGGGTCGAACCAACCTCATTTACTTAGGAAATGATTGCCCTCCCCTAGTGATGCTTCAGACTAAATTTGGTTGAAATCCTCTTTGGCGTTTAGGAGGAGATAGGTTTTAAAGAAAAAGTTGACGACGGACGGCGAGGACGACGACGACGGACGACGGACACTGCGCCACGGTATAAGCTCACTATGGTCCTTCGGACCAGGTGAACTAATAATAACAAGAGTATTTCTTACTAAAGCCGTGTGGCGATTGTTTAACTAATGATA